TGGAGGACGGAAGTGGTTAATGGCCTATGCTCCAACCGGAGCTAAGGGAGAATCCTGTTACCAATCAATCGTTACCATTATAATTTCCTCAAATGTGATTGGTGCATCAGCTGCTTCACTTTTCACTAATCATTCTGTACAGTTGTAATCAGACAGTTGGCTGTAATCGGACACCTGTAATTGGAAAGTTGAAGCAGCCAATCATACTAGGTCCACTAAGCTAAATCCGCCAATCACAGAATTGATCAGATTAACCATGGCAACAACCACTTATCCAAAGAAAAATAAGGCAATTTCCAAAATAGAGGAATATTTAACTAAAGACATTGTCTCCACTGTAGATACTTGTTCTAGGTGTATTTGTTTTCTCGGAAATTGAAATGGTTATGATTTATTGGTAACAGGATTTCTTGTCGTCTAATTCTGTCAGTAATCATAATCGTGTTAAACAAATCGGACTCCCGCTTCGCGTCCATCTGATTTTGTTAATCACCCGTATGATTACGGACCGAATTGGACTCCACTCGGTCCTATTACCATTATTGATCAAATTTATTTTAAAATTGGTGAAAGAAAGTAGACATCGGTCATACGTTTGCATAAAAAACAAACCACAACAGCGCGCGCAAATGATGCTTCACTGTTCAATTACCAGCATGAGGCATACACTTTTCCATTAGTGCTCAAATCGGGCTGGTGATAACGAATCACGTTCGAGAATTTTGTTATAGTTTTGATTACCGAAAGAATAGTTTTATTTGACGTCGACACTTTGGTGAAAAACGAATCGACAATGTCGAATTCACTCGGTTAAGCCCCGTTTGTCTTCAACATTTTTACCGCTGTGTTGACGATTGCTGTCGATAAGAATGCAGACCACGCTAAACCACTGTCGATTTTTTAAAATGAATTAGGAGTCGCCACAGACTTTCCAGGCGAACCAGTGAAAACTGCTATGGTTTTTTTTTTCTTTGTTTCTTTCATTTTAACTATATATCGCGCTGCGCACAAATTCTTGCATGTAAAACAAATGATGAATAAAGATTGTCCTTTACAGTCTGTGCAGTTTTCAATCTCTCAGATTTCCTCTGATGATACATTACATTTTTTACAAGTTAAAACCGGTTGGCTGCAAAATATAATCAGAGAGGAAAAGTGAAACACTTTGCTCCAAAAAAGAAAAGCATCACACTTCGGTTTCGGACAAACTGCGATCGTATTGTTTCCCTTAATAATAAACAAAACGCGCAGAGTTAAACTTAAATGTAGAAGTTACAAGTGCAAGACACAGGGATGAAGTCACATGCAGAAGTAATTACAAGAATTTGTGGACTTTTTCCCGAAAATAAATTTATTCGATGTCCTAACAAAGATGGGTCATTTGAATAAGGATACAAGCGCTCTAAACTGACACAAAAATGTTCAAAATGTTTACATTTCAGAGATGAACTGTCCACGTGATGAACTTTACATAAATCCTTGGAACCTACTCCGAAAGTAAATTAATTTCTGACGCCTTTTCTCGCCTTTTGCGTAGTTCAACGCACAGCAGTTGCCTGCGGTCGGTAAGATGTACCATCAGAACAAGTTGCAGGTTCGAAACGAGCTCCTAAATATGCTGAAGCCATCCGAAGAGCAACCCAGGGCATCGCGTGATTTCCCCAGACTAGAAAGGAATTCTTTGGGATGTCTGATAAAACTCTCTCCAATCATACGAATTCACTTTGATGGCATGAATATTAGGGCTTTGAAAAAATATCTTCAACATATTTTTTTTGCATACTCTAAGTCATCAAATATGTAAATAAATGTGAAAATAACTCCTTCAATATTTTTCCCGCTTTCTTCTGGCGTGAAGTTAAAATTAGATGTCAGTTTCAGCCAAAAAAACCCCAGTCATCATATCACGGTGGAAAATGAAACTTACTTCTTGTCAAAATCTTCAAATAGCAACTCTTATATTTAAAGACGGTTTCCATCTCATCACAGTCATTCGTAGACAAATCTTTTTCTTGGTGACTGAAGTTGACAACACCTGTTGATCGTCACTTTTTTTCAGCCAGGTTTATTGTTTTTTATTTTTTTTTAAGATTATATGTTCCGTCCTGCAAGTTCTGCATTTTACATTTTACATTTGTAACAGCCAGATAAGAATAAAAGTTCCGTACGGAGAGACAAAAAACTGAGAAAAAAAACCCAAAAAGCTGTTTTAATGCCTTTATTGGATCAATATCAGTATCTGGGCAACTGCCCACCTACCCCTC